ATTCGCATTTGCGTGGCGAACTTCAAACAAAAGGTAGTTAATAGCTTAATTAGCATTTCCAATGTACGTTTGAGGGAATTTTTGCCGAAAAAACGCGAAAAGAGAATTTACAAATGACCCTCATAGCCATAATTAAACAGAAACAGCGATTACATTCTGGTCGAGCAACTCATGAAACTCTTTTTCGAAAATTTCGAGCAGCCAACTTGTTATTCCATCATCTCTGACAGAAGTTCGCATAGCATCGAACACAAAGCCGCAGCAATAACACATTAGCCGTTTCAGTCGGCAATATTTTGGTAGAGTCCTGCACAAACAGGCTCGCGAGGATTACGTATGGACGTCACGACCTGTGGAAGGGAGTCGACTACAACCACCCCCTTTCGTCTCTTCGGGCTCTTGGTTGGCTCGTCACGTGGCTAGGCTCGTTCGTTCCGGAAGCAGGAGCCTGTGAAATTGGAAAATCCTGGAAGACTTTTACTTTCACACTTGGCTTTTATAGTTATTTTTTCATCTTAATTTCGAGACGTTGTTTATTCGCAAAAATCGATTTCTTGTCATGTTAAATTCATAACTGAGCAATTTTCATCGGTCTCGACTTAACGTGCTTCACTTAGGGAACTTGTCGGCAACTTTATCCCCAATATGACTGGAAATGTCAGAGAAATTGAAAGATGGATGTAGTTGGGGGATCTGGCCGTGTTAACGGCGAGTATTTAAAGTTTTCCTATTTTTTCTCCGGATTTATCAATAGCTGGGAGTTGCAGAAAGTCTGTATGATCGATGGCCTGTGGAGAAATGCCATCGTTTAACACTTAATGCAACGGAAATTGTAGTTTAGAACTGTTTTTCTGACATTGGTGATATCATAAAAATTCTTAGCAAAAAAGTCTGACTTGTACGATTTGTCAAGCTCAGGAAAACATTAAAGTAGGCATTAAAAGTTGTAAAATCCGAGTTTTGTTGTAATCAGTTAAAATAAGAAAACGTGAAACACCCAGTATACGACATATTTTAGCTACAAAAATGAGGTCGGCTTGATTTCCCAGTGCTATTTCGTTGATACAACTTCATTTAAAGTGGATGGGAAATTTTTGAACGGCTTTTGTTGTGTATGTTATTACACTGTTCAGGAGAATCCAACAACGTATTTTGGCAACATTGGTTTACCACAAAACATAATAGTCCGCTTTGACAACCATATCAATTACGGGTAACCACTGTTTGAAATACTGAGTGATTTTTATTTTCAGATTTCGTGTAGGGTTTATGTAATAAAATTCTATTACGTGTATAGGTTTCATGGTACTTTTATAATGGGGAGGGGCAGCTTTGTATTTCTCTTGAGACTTGCTTGTCACGATCACGTACACCGTTTTGATACATTTTTGATACTGTATCATAAAATATAATAGATGGTCTAACTAAAACAAAGCACCGGATGCAAAACAATACCGTCAAAGCTGTAATAAAATTCCCCATTATACTAACATTGTATTAAGTGAATGCATGGAGGACCTACATCCTAATTAATTAACAAATTCCATTTGTCGACTATTTAGTTAGCAGTGAACAACACAGAGGTTCAAAATACCCGTCCATATAACCGTATAAAGCCCACAGAGGGCTCAAATCTTGAATTCTCACTCTATTGCAAATAGTTCACATAATTTAAAATGACAAAATGGCGTCGCTAAATTTCGCATAAGAAGTGAATCAATAAATTACAAAAAGGGGTTCGTCCTCACATCATACAATTAACTACATTTTTTAAATTTCTTTTTCCGTTTAATGAATGCATTTGCATATGCTTTGTTTCAACTGTTCAACTCTTCGTGCAAATTGGACACTAGACAATAAACTTTCACGGACAAGTTGATTAAATTTCAACTGCAAAAAGTCGCTCTTTGAATATTTTATAGTGCACAGAGATCCGAAAAGAGAACGAAAAGCTGCACCTTCTGATGATGGTGTTGAATACTAAACAAATCAGAGTACGATGAAAGAGTTGATCCGATTACATGTGGGAAAAGTTTTTTAACCTCAAGAGCTGTTTTTAGGCGACATTAATTTTTTATTTATTGTATGGTCCGTAATATTCAGGGATTAAAGCAGTCATTTTATGTGTTTTGGGCAGCAAATCCTGTTCATAAACACAGTAATCAACTTATATTATTAATAGCAAGGTTAAGTCTTTCTAATCTCTGCTGCTTGTTTTGTCACAAACTTGTTTTACACTCTTTTCTTTTCAGACGCTGCTGAATCGGCTACTTATAATTATTACTTTATTATACCCTCTTAAATATGACAGAGATTTTGCCTGAATACCCGGAGTTACAACACTACCAGCCGCCGCTGGCGGATTAAGTGCATTATTTTGACACTGCACCGAAATTTTTCCGAACCACGTGTCTTCGATTCAGGTGGTGATAGTGTCACTCCGGGTGATGGATCACTCACTCCGCACCCTGGGTTCGTTCATGTGCAAGACCCTTCCGCCATTATTCAAAACAGTTCAACAAGGTGATGTTGAGGTTGTGGAATTAGTCACAAGTCTTGACGCGCGGTTTAACGCCGGGAAATTGAGCCATTTGTTTTAAATTTGGATACAAACATACGCTGAAAAAATAAAATCTCGTCCTTGTTTTATTGGGTCGATAAATGTTTCAGCAACGTGATACAATTGTGAAAACACGTTTTTCTTATGGTCGCGTCGACGTAAAAATTACAGTCCGGGATTTGCTCCTGACGTGTTGAAGACTTGAATAAAAAAATATTGTGATAACCACTTGTCTGAATTATTGACTGGTCCGTATCTGATTTTTTTTATGGATATACGGGCCGAAATTCGACGACGGTTGAGTATCTGTATTGAGAAAGATATTGGGGATGAGAGAAAAGCGGTATCGCTGTGTAGTTTTATGGCTTCGCTCGAATCTTCACATATTATGATAGACTTGGCCTGTGGCAGCTTTTACAAATTCGGCTAAAAACACATGCTTTCTGGTAATCTTAGAAAAATCACCAACACTGTTGTTGTTAATAAGAATTTATATTAGTGTATACATACTGTTGTTGACTGATAATACGCGAACGTAATCATCAGGAACAAATTTCTTAAACTTTTTTTCATATATTGATACATATTGATTTGTGATAACTTTAAGAAAGCTGTTACGAACATTTTGGATTAGAGTTGGCTGTGACTAACAATGTATTGTTGGTAACAGTTTTTAGGACACGCTATAGGAATGGTTTGTTATTAATGAACAAATTGAAGGCACTTTGATTGGATGAAATTTTAGCCAAAATCACCTACGAGCTGTGTACGAGTCGCCACTGGTCGCAACACCCCCGTATTTATAATGACAGCGCTAAAAATATCAACACGCCGTATTTGTTCGCCTGCATTAAAGGGATTTATTACTGGATTATGATAATTTGGATAATTACTGGGAATTATTCAGTGCGCTCGATTTTATTGTCGAATTAATTTATGCACGGGGGTTTCACAGCGCCGTTTTGTATCGAGAAATTTACATCATCATTTAGAAGGTTTCCAGTGGTAATTAGAGGAAAATGCCCGAGTGCTAGTAGCCTGTTGAAAAGCAGGTAATGCTGTTAATTAATTTACTAATTAAAGGTGCCTCGTTCAATGATGCAACGCTATCGATCTTAACTGTGCACCTAATACACCCTAAGGAGATTTCGATGTACCAATATGTACTGTAGCATAAACATTGCTTCAAGCTTTAGTACATACAGATTAACAACTTACCGCCTAAAAAGCTGTTAATTTAGTTACTTTATTGTTTACGAGGTATTGGGTATTCATTACCATTGATGTAGAAATAAAGTCACAAATAGGACGCAGATGGATGCAACAGGCGAGTAAAATACTGCATTACGGCACACGGGAAGAAAAATCTCATGTTTACACCAAGAGTCGTATATATGACTTTTATACTATCAAAGTTTCAAGTAACAAGAATATAATTGGAAATATAGTAGAAAATAAGTACTTGATTCTTATTGTTGAAGGTCTCATTAAACCCAAAATAACATACATACACCCCAATGGTTTTTGTTACACTGCACGTGTAGGAATACGTGTCTTTGCTGAAATAATGTTGCTCCGAACATTTTTAAATGAAAAAACTCACTAATGCATAAAGAATAATCTTGCAGTTTATCAATGCATTCATATTTTTGGATCAATTGTTAACCGGTTCCTATCACGGGTTGACGATAAGAACACCCCAGAGTTCCAGACCAAAAATAAACAAGTGTGTTTTCGTAACATGATGCGTTAGAATGCTACACAGTGGCGGAGTATGAGTGATTAAAGTATAATACATTAATGAATTCAGGAAAACGAGCTGTACAAGAATGTCTAAAAAAATATATAAGCATGTCATTAAAAAATAAGTGGGATGTCGTAGACAAACAATAAAAAAATTAAGGGGGTGTCACATGTATAGGAAGTCATTTACCTTCTGTATGATCACTGGTATTACTTATCTGTATTTATTTTAATGTAAAGACGTTATCACAAAATCAGACTTTTTAATTTTTCAAAGAAGCGAAATTTCTTGGATTGTAACACTTCAGACGCAAGGGAAGTTCTGTCGAAATAACTTTCGACGAATTTGTCTCTATTGTTGTTGGGTAGGCTATTATTTTCAATACTGTTTACTACAATAGAATCGCGAGTGATCGACGGGTGAACAACAAACCTAGTGTTTCTAGTCGTTAGACACCACTTGTACGAAAGTCTCACTCCATTCAAGTGTGCTTTAGTAAGGCTGTTCATGCGACTTTCGTCTGGTGACTGTTTTATTTTTTACTTTAGTTTTATATCTTGCAATAGTAAAACTGTGCGCTCACGCCACTTAAGTCAAGCTGAAATACATCCATCTGAATTTCGAACAGTTAACTGATTTCACTGAATAACTTCTAAATCTGATTACTACTATCAATACCATTTCTCGTTATTTTAGAGCCGCCCAGAAGCTGAACCTTTCTTCGTCTCCACATCGTCGGAAACGCTACAACTCCGAAGAAACCGAGTCGTCTGGTTTCTGTGGAACGTTGCAGCGTTCTCCACCTCCCGTCCCGCCGGCGCTTCTCCGTAGAATCGGAGTAAAAGAAGTGACCGGAGTCGGAAAGGTAAGTGACAGTTTTTTCAATCATCTGAATTAATCATCAAAAGGGCACTTCATTAGCAAACTTGAGCCTCTTTTGCATGTTCGGAAGTAGTCCGACTTCTTTACTCTAATCCTCTTATACCTATCGTCAACTTCATTGGTTACCTTTCAAGTTAGTAACCCTATTACGTAAGTACTGACAGGAAATAATTCCTCCTTACTTCCGTATTCCTTTTAATTTAATTTCGAGCAAAATACTGCGCTAAATTAGCAAGGGTTATACATCAATCACGAGACGGCGACGGATCGGAATTCGGTGGTGAATTGACAACACCCCTTTCTTCCGTTGCGGCTACCAGTGAAACCTCAATCAGGCTCAATTATCATACTCACCACTAACAAGGGGTGGATTTTGGTCGCAACTGTTCTGTATTCTAGAGATTTCTGATGTTGGGAACGAAACCGTACAAGGTCAGAGCGTTTAGTTCGATACCCTTACGTGATACATGCAAAGGTCGAATTTAACTTAAATATGGGGTATAATGGTTGCTACAAAGTAAATAATGGGATGCTTGTGTTTTGTGCCAAATCTTATTATTAGCGACTTAAAGAGGAAAGCATGGAACTAAATGCCAATAACGAATTTCCTTTTGCACGGAATCTGATAGCAAAGTTTTGGATAAAATCATTTCCACCACACAATTGTGGAATTGGAAGTTTAGTTATCAGTAACAAGAACTAAGCAAAATTTGAATTAAACGAATTCTAATCCTAATTCACACAGCCTTAAGCATTAGACCAAGACTTGTTCTTGTTGACCTGACCTATTTTTAAACCATTTTGGAATAACTTTGCATACTAAACTTACGATTTATGTTCAACAGAACTGACTTCTGCTTATTGACATCTATACTGCCTGTACACGTTGCGGTGGAATAGTTCACGAGTTCAATAAAATTTGGTACCTATTTATAGAAATATTGCCAATGACACCATTAACAAATGTAAATGCCCTCATTATTAATCTTTATTTCTAAATCCAGCAGATTATGTCCAAGATATAGTTACAGTTCTTTTGATGAAGCATTAAAGATTGCTTAAATAGAAGCATGAATGTTTCAATAGCATGATCAGAACAACTACAATATGATGTAGATTGTGACCCAAAATGGCATATTTTTAGAACTTTGATACTGTTCAGACGGGTAGTGACCTGGCGTAAATTAGAGATGTAAAAAAATGTTGTTCTAATAAAAAGCTGACACTGGAGCTTCGATGGCAAACCCTTCTTTAATAATAATAATCATTAAAATGATGACAATTTTGTTGTCGACTCTGTGTCATTTGATGCTGAAGGTAATTTTAGTCCTTTAATTGTCCTTCGTTGAAGAAAGCACGTTGCAATGGCTCCGAAAGTGGCACGTGTGAGCGATTTTGTCTTAACTCATACAAATGGGAGTGAGTTTACCCTTGACGCCGTAAAGCCAGTAATCCAATATATCAAACATTTTTCAACAGCTTAATCGCATCAAGTAAATGATTCGACATAATCTACAGAACGGACTAAAGTGAAAGGTTGCAGTCAGGACAATGACCAGAGAGATCCCGATGTCCGAGCTTAAGTCCAGGGGCAGGATTGAATAATGCCGGAATTGGCCTCACGTTAAACTACACAGATGCGTCGGCATCCGTACTTTACTACTTTCAGGATTATCCAACTGACAGGATTATTACTGTTATTATTTGCAGTTTATTTCGCTAGTGGCGAATTAATTTAGTTCACTCGAGTGTTTATTTACAATTGGGTTAAGTCAATGTTTATTTAATAAACTGATGCAAACACGAAAGTGATTTACTCGTAAACTAACCGACGTATTGCTCTTTGTCATTTTGCTAATACACAAAATGGAAACTGTGTTTTGATTTATGTATGATTTATATGCGCTTCGTGGAACGGTGTGTACCGAAGGCATTGCGGAGGCCTAATTTGATTTTCCTGTTTACTATGGGCCAAATTGACAATTCTGGCCGACAGCTTACTATACTGTTATGGCAACAAAGTTGCGAGCACTTCTTCAATCAGACTTCCATACAAGTTTCTACAAAATTCCTTACGTAGTCTATATTATGGATTAGCCACCAAAACTGTACAACGTGTCCATGGTATTTATATTTTAATTTAATTTAGTTAATAGCTTCAGATTTTCAAACAAAACTTTAATTAAAATAGCAACCAACGTTTTCCCGAGGGAAACGATATTGGATTATTTTAATGTTTGTCTAATTTATGATAATGACGATTATGATTCCCACTCACTTTATTTAACTTTATCACAACTTAATTTGATTTGGCTGACACCGTTTTATTTGGCGATAAGTTTAAAATCAATATTCAATTAATATGCAACAAATATGGAAATCGTCGCTGAGTGTATCGGAATATTTAGGCTGTCGGACGTTAATGGCGAATTTATGTATCATTGTCGGATTAAATTCGCATCCGCGGTTGGATAATCAAAAAATAATATCAATCCGAGATCTCCTGCGGGTCCGTCAATTATAAACTTTATGCATATTCATTCCGGAGTCCCGGAGTCGAGTTACCCTGATTCCACAGATAAAAATAGAACGTCAATGGGAAAAGAAGTGGCGTCTGAACAACTGCGGGCATAACTGTGTGTGAATGTGGATATTGATGCATAATTTTAGGCACAACAATTCTGGTTGTACGAAAAATAACATTATGGAGCGTAAACCCGATTTCGACATTACCAAAATAGCTTGAAATTTGTTAAACACGCGGAGTTACGAAATTTGCATATCGATTGCCATTCAGCTGAATGCTTTGGGATTTTGATAATTTGGGGTTATTTAAAGCGACGTTAGCAAAGTATTGAATATTTCGTTTGTTTTTGCTTTTTTCTAAAACGCTGCATATTCGAGGTTTGTGAATTTTTTTAAATACGTGAGAAAAATATGTATTTTTCGCATTTGTTTTCGATTTTTTTTTTTATATATACATAACTAAATTCACAAGTTTAAGTTCGGGAAAAATCATTAAAATATTCTTGACGTCAATTTGACGTCCATGTACAAAAACAAAATATCGATTTAGATAGATATGTGGATCAAAAAAGTTCAATGTACTCGATCACTATACTTCATTAGCTTACGCTCAGAAAAATTTGACCACTGTCGTCAAATTCATCGTAAACATTTTAAAAATTTTTGTAATGTTATAAAATGAAGAAATGAATAATGAAAGTCCAATCGATATCAGATGCCCAACACAAAATAGTGAATTAAATTGTGGTGAAATTTCGAAAAAAAAAGGTCTACATTTGGACAAAAGGATTTTTTAATTACTTTTTCTTTGCTCCAAGCATGAAATGGTCGGTAACAATGTGTCATACAGGTGGAACGCCATTTTTGAACACCCTGTATATCTCATTGCTTATTTTAACTTTTGGAAAGTTGTTTTCAGTTTCATAGCTGATTCTTATGTATATTTGAGTATTGAATCCAAAATGTGAATTCCATTTTTCTCCAAAGCGTAAGGATTTTTCACAAAAAGGTTTGAACATTTTTTTTTTCAATCAATAAATACATTATTTACGGGTGATTGAAAAACTAAATTATTCTAAATTATGCTTAAATCTAATGAAAATTCGTAGTAAAATACTAAATATAGCAAAAGGAGTAAATTACACAAATGAAATTGTCACAAAATAAATTGCACAAACTTACACCATATTTGTAAAGAAGGTATATTGAACTAAATCGTTTGTTTAAAACATATTGCATCAACTTCTTGCGCCATTATAACTAAAAAAATATTATATTGGTTGTTTTAAACAACAATTGAAAAAAAATCCTTTATTATTGTAATGAATCAATGGCTAACACAAAAAACACAAATTATGATAAAACCTTATTATGTGATGGAATTTTTTAAATATTTTTCTCTTTTTTAACACCAAAAACTTTATTAAAATCACTAAATAGATTTCCGACAATTTGATCTTTGCAGGCTTGTGTTATTATTAGAATAATTATTTATTAATATTTAACAATTCTTTGAGTAGTATACAATAAAATTAACTTCAACTATATAGAATCTTTTTTTTACGAAGCATAAAGTGGGATTTATAAACTTTTGCCGTATTTAAAGGGGTCGTAGAAGCAATAAGTCTACAATATTAAGAAAAACAGGCTAAATTTAATTTTTGACTCGTTGTCAGATCGTGGGCGGGGCTTAATTGCAAGATCCATATTTGTCTACAAGAATTTATCATTTTAAACAGGTTTTAATTTTCTTGTTTTGAAAAGATGACTACGTATATTAAGAAAAAAAGGCAAAATATAAGCCCCGCCCACCCACCCTATCTCAATTGTAATGATTTTTTTTTAATCGTCGTGAGCCAAAGGAGCTGAATTTATTTGCAAAATCCTTATTATTTCTCTACAAGAAATTACCATGTAAGACACGTTTTTGAGTATCGTGTTATTCAAAGAATACTATGTATATTAAGAAACAGTTAAAGCCAAAAATTAACCCCCATCCATACCTGCCCTGATCTAAATAGTAATGAAGTTTGCATTCTAGGGCGCAGCCTAATTGCAAAATCCATATTTTCTTCCAAAAATGTACCATTTTAAACGTGTTTTAAGTTTCTAAGAGTAAAAAAAAATATCACAATTGAGATGGGGTGGGTGGGCGAGGTTATATTTTGCCTTTTTGTCTTAATATACATAATATTCTTTGAACAACACGATAGTCAAAAACATGTTTTAATTTCTTATAAAGAAATAAGTATTTTGCAGTTAAGCTCCGCCCCCTTGGTTCACGGCGAATAAAAAAAATCATCACAATTGAGATAGGGCGGGTGGGCGGGCTTAAATTTTGCCTTTTTGTTTTAATATGTGTAGACTTCTTTTTGCAACGTAAAACTTAAAACATGCTTTAAATGGAAAATTTGTACAAAGAAATATCGATTTTGCAATGAGGCTCCGCCCCATAAT